TTGTTCTTTTCTTCATTTTTTTTTGAATATTATTATTTCCAATCTTCTGCGTTTCTTCTGCATCTGGAACAGGCCGTTCTGCAAGTAGAACGACCCGTTCTCCTTGCAGAACTGGCTGTTCTGCTTGGAGAACGGTCCGTTCTCCTTGCAGAACGGGCCATTCTGCTTGCACTCGTTATTTTTTTTATTTTTTTTTACTACTTTTTCACTTCGGACCTGGTAATGTCCGACGTAAATTTATGTCGGTTTTACAATGCTGATGTAGATTTACGTCTCCCACATTAACGTTAGTATTTTTCCCGACGTAAAAAGGTCTAAATTTATCATGTGTATTTTTAGATAATTCTATATGTAATGCATGAATATGTATAATAAAATAATAAAAATATATTATCTGTCAATTTGAATTAATAAAATAAAGTATTAATTAAATAATTTTTAATATTTTTAAAATTTTGTATATTTGATCTATACATTGGAAACTTTAAGGGGGTGTATTGGATTAGGATTTTAAATGAATTTTTTAGTTAAAAAAAATCTTGCGGATTTTAAAAGATTTTACAGGATTTTCATGACTTTTAAGACTCCGTAAGATTCTGCAAGACTTTAAATCAGGATTTTAATGTATTCTGCAAGACTTTTAAATAAAGATTTTAATGGATTTTACGGGACTTTGGGAATTTTATATCTGGAAGAGGGTTTAGGATGATTTGTGATAATAGTCGTAGAACAGATAGGAAATAGATGGAATTGACCATGTACCATTCCATGTATTCTTGTGTGTGAAACAATGGGTCTTGCATTGGATGACCCATCAATGTGTGTTCACGTATGTTGTTTCATATGTCGACCCATCTGGCTAGAACGGCCCGTTTCGAAATCAGAACGGCCCGTTTTGGTTTAACTAATGTGATCCTGAGCTAACTCCACACAGAGATTTAAATCCCTGAACTTCTCCACCAACTCCAACTCCTTCACCATCATCCCAGACATGTGAATGGTTTTCCTGCTCAGTGCGTCCGCCACAACATTGGCCTTACCAGGATGATACATCAACTGGAAGTCATAGTCCTTCAGGAATTCCATCCACCTCCTCTGCCTCATGTTCAGCTCCTTCTGATCGAACAGATATTTCAAACTCTTGTGATCACTGAAGACACTGAACTGAGCACCATACAAAAAATGTCGCCATATCTTCAAGGCAAAAACAACAGCTGCCAACTCCAAGTCATGAGTGGGATAATTCCTCTCATGGTTCTTCAGTTGCCTTGAAGCATAAGCCACTACTTTCCTGTGTTGCATCAGCACACACCCAAGACCCTGGTGAGAGGCATCACAGTACACATCAAAGGGTTCACCAGAATCCGGCAACACTAACACAGGAGAAGTAGTCAACCTCCTCTTCAACTCCTCAAAACATCACTCACAGGCATCTGTCCAAATGAACGGCTGCTCCTTCCTCGTCAACTGGGTCAGAGGCACTACTATCCTGGAGAATCCCTCAATGAACCGCCGATAATAACCTGCCAGACCCACGAAACTCCGTATATCAGTGACAGTCCTCGGGCGCTCCCATTGCAACACCGACTCCACCTTAGCCGGATCCACAACAATCCCCTCAGCTGAAATCACGTGGCCCAAGAACTTCACTTCATCCAACCAAAACTCACATTTAGAAAGCTTAGCATACAACTGCTTCTCCTTCAAAATCTCCAGCACCGACCTCAAGTGCTCTCCATGTTCTTCCCGGGTTCTTGAATAAATCAAGATGTCGTCAATGAATACCACCACAAATTTATCCAAGAATGGCCGGAAGATCTTGTTCATGTAATCCATGAACACTGCAGGGGCGTTGGTCACACCAAACAGCATCACGACATACTCATAGTGACCATACCTAGTCCTGAAAGCAGTCTTCGGTATGTCACCCTCCTTCACCCTAATCTGGTGATAGCCCGACCTCAAGTCAATCTTTGAAAACACTGATGCTCCCCTCAGTTGATCCATCAAGTCATCTATCCGAGGGAGTGGATATTTGTTCTTGATGGTCAACTTATTCAACTGCCGGTAATCTACACAAAGTCGACTACCTCCGTCCTTCTTCTTCACCAACAACACAGGTGCACCCCACGGCGAAATGCTCGGCCGCACCAACTGCTTCTCCAATAGGTCTTCCAACTGACCCTTCAACTCAACCAACTCAGCAGGAGCCATCCTATAGGGAGCCACCGACACTGGTCCCCCTCCTGGAACCAAGTCAATGCTAAACTCCGTCTCCCTAGTAGGAGGCAACCCAGGTACTCCATCCGGAAACACCTCAGCAAAATCCCGCACCACCTCAATTTCAGAAATAGCCCGTTCGGTCTCAAAACTTAACGCCGCAAGCAGAAGACAGCACTCTGCTCCATCTCTCAACAATGATTCAACTTGGCTAGCTGAAATCAACAACTCATCCTCCTCCTGAGGAAAGATCAACCGCCTATTGGCACAATCTATAAGGATACGATTGGCAGATAACCAATCCATCCCCAAGATTATGTCAATATCAACTAAAGGTAAACAAATCAAGTTTACCTTATACCTCTTCCCATTCACATCGATAGGGCAACCAACACACAACTCAGAAGCAACTACTGAAGTAGACGCAGGCGTCGACACTAGCAGTCTCAGCCCCAGATCACACACAGGTACATCCAGCATAGCAACACAAGCATAAGAGATAAAAGAGTGGGAAGCTCCAGAATCAAACAAAAATACCACATCCTTACCAGCAGCTCTGCCCTTTCCCTTCACCAGGTCCGAAGAAGTTGAAGCCTCAGCACCGGTCAAAGCAAAGACCATACCAGCTGTGGTGGGTCTGCCACCCCTCTGAGCACCTCCTCTCTGAGCATCACTCCTCTCTGGTCTGGTCCTGGCGGGGCAGTTGGAAGATACATGGCCCATCTGTTGGCATCTGAAACACCGATTCTCTGTGTGGGGACAATCCCTGATCATATGGGACCCACCACACCTGTAACATCTCAGGGCAGCACCTCCACCCTGTCCTCCACTAGCAGCAGCACCAGCAGGTTGCCTGATGACAGGACCCCCTTGATGTGGTTGGGGCCTATCATATGGCTTCCTCTGACTCCCTCCTTTCTTGGACCCGGATGGCCCCTCAGCAGCCTTCACCCCGCGGTTACCACCTTCCAACCGCTCAACCACCTTCGCCTTCTCCACCAAGGCTGGAAATTCAGTGATGGCCATAGGCACCACCACTCTCCTCAGATCATATTTCAATCCCTCTGCAAACTTCCGACACTTCCAAGCCTCGGCAATGCCTTGCGAATAAAAACGAGCTAGGTGCTCGAACTTCATCGCATAATCAGAAACGGTCATCCCTCCTTGGTGCAAGCGCATGAACT